TTGGGGGACAAAATGGCTCCTAGTGTATCTGGGTCTTAGTTTAGTATAGTTTACTACGGGCTGATTTCCGCAACTCCACATCTATGCGTGTATTTTACGTGTGGGCAGGAATAATATGCTTATTCGAGCCATGAGATCTCCCCGAAGAAGCTCAACAGTCCTTTGATGTTGCATGCAACTTCGGGCAGTGACCTCGGCGTGCCGAGATGTTTAGCCCTGTACGTAGCGACCTCTGGACATTTCAATATCACATGGGCCGCCATTTCTTCTTCCCCCAGACATGCCCTGCACAGGGGATTATCTGTAACACCTATAGTAAATAAATGCTTGTTAAAGTTGCCATGTCCTGTGATAGCACTTGTTATATCCTGGTCTGCGGCTTGTTCAGTCTCATTAGAACTTTGGTTAAACAACTGTTTATTTCAGGCAGGGCCTCCCTAGCTTGTCTACAGTCTATTAGATTTTTCCAAAGCTGAGCATGTAGATTAGTGAAGTGTCAAATATCTGGGTCTTAATTGTACTACATTCTCCTTCCATTCCTTCCATGCAACCCGCACTGCTGCATAGATTTTGTTCCTGGTGTCTGTTCTAGTACATATTACTTGAATGACTATTATTGTGATTTTTATCAACAAATTAACATTTACCCTGATTTGGTTGTTCAGCAAATTAAAACAGTTCTATCGGACTATTAAAATGAGAGAATAGAGTAGAAAGACTTATTATCATTATTTTATATGTGGTAGAGCCGGACTGCAGCTATATTAAGGTTGCATCATGGATGGGTCGGCTCGACCGGGGTGGTACTACACTTTCACGGAATGTGTAGTACCACCCACCATCCTGTGTTTTGTTTCAATATCCTCCTACCACAAGCATTATCAGTTCACTTATAGTGATAAGAGAAGTATTTGTAATGTTCTTAGTGATGATAGCAGTTTGAAGTTAATGTAGGTAATGTAGTTGATGGATGTAGGTGGCTTGGAACTGTAGGAGTTTCTTTCTGCCTAAATATCATCCTCTTACCATTTTCTGGCACCAAGCAACAGTATGTGTCCCAGTCTGAAGGACATCGAGACCCAGGCTGTGATGCATTACATCTTAGTCTTCAGAGGTCACATTGCATCTATAGCCATTGCTTGAAGTTCGTTGCAGGTGCCCATGATGCCCATTAGTCACTTACTAGATGGTAAGTTTATTTGTCACTTCAATATTATAAAAAATGATGTTGACAAATTAAAATATGGTAGCAAATAATTTTTATTACAAACTTATATACACTTATGTATTTGAATACTATTTCTTATTTATGAAGATTTTCATATTTTCAGTTGGATGAGAATGAGGGACCAATAATTGTCTGTTTCACCTGTCATGCAAGACTCATTCGTTGCAGAAGATTACAACAACAGGCTATTGAGTCAAATGTGGTTCTGGAGCAGTTGCTTTCAGGAGGATCCATGGTATTATCCATTCCATCCATTAAAACCTATAAAAGTCAACTGCTGAACATAGGTCTCACTCATAGATTGCTTCATAGGAGGGATTTTGCCAAATTTGCCACACTTGGCAAGTTGGCAACCATAGTTTATATTAGTCTAAGTTGTCATCAGGAAGATGCGGCCGCCCTACCTCTGTTTCTGTTTCCTTCTGTTGCCTCTTACGACACCCATCCCGTGGATAGGTATATAGGATAGTGCAGGGGTCGGCAACCTGCGGCTCGCGAGCCACATGCGGCTCTTTGGATGTGAAACTGCGGCTCTAGTTTCATACGCAAATATTATTTATTTTATAAAAAAAAATTATAAATCAACCCATACTGAGCCATTTGGGGTTGATACTGGATCTCTAGAAATCCAATTGATCGATTTAAAAAGTAAACCTTTGTGGAGTTGAAAATTTACAGAGTTGATAAGGAAGTTGAAAAAGTTGGAGGTCCAGAAATGTATGTACGTAACGCAACAAAAATGAACGGCTTTAAAAGAAAGGCTGCGAGTTGAGTTATATTTGACGCATGGAATAGTCTTCCAGATTGCTATAGTGAGGTGAAGAAGTTGGCATTTGGAGTGCTGACTATCTTCGGATCGACATATTCGTGCGAGCAAGCATTCTCTTGCATGAATATAATTAAAAGTAAAATTCAGATTCGTGTTTGAAACTTAAAACAACAAGTTATTTAAGCCAAATTTATCCAAACTTTCTAAAACCATGCAAAGCCAAAACTCCCATTGAATTTGTTTGCTCAATTGTTTGTACTTGAAGTATAAGTTAGTGTTGTAAGACTTACAATGTAAATAAATGTTTGTTTTAATTTTTTACTTAAATAATAAGTGATTATCTAATAATACCATATATATATATATATATATATATATATATATATATATAAAAGGTTGCCAACCCTGTGATAGTGGATATTCTTACTCTGTCACTGCACAATCCACTTTTCTATGCTGCTTCCCATTGCTATATGGGAGAATGTTTCTAGTGTTCAAAGTTAAGTTTGTCCTTCAATCCAACTTACTTTTGTTAGAGCAATAGTCCTTATTTTTACAAAAACAATTATCAAACTGTTTATACTGTTATATATTACCCTATTGTATATAAACAAATCTCAATAATAAAGATAAATCTTTGTCAATTTACAGCTTTCGTGAATCTGAATCCAAAAGTTGTTGAGACACGATTCTCGGGATAGATGAACTATGTACATTCTTATTTAAGTTTACGCTGAACCCTCACTTTTGTCCAGTGTTTATTATTATTTGAAGTTGTTGTCAGGAAGATGCTGCCCCCCGATCTCCTGTTTCAGTTTCCCTCTGCCCCTTTTTACGACATCTGCGGGATGGCAGGGGGTAGTATGGGTTCTCCTACTCCACCACTATAGTGGCTTTTTCTCTCATTTGAAAAAATTATTTCCTTTCAGTCAATACCAAAACCGCATAAGGTTAGAGGTGAGATTAAATTCACACCAATTTATCATATAGACATCTGGCCTGTAGAGTGTGATATAGACAATGATTGCAAGGACGAAATTTTTTGCCTTGATGCCGTTAAAGTTGAGGAGGAGATTTTCGAATATGAGAATTCCAAATTGGAAGTAAATGAGAATCATGAAACAGGTAAGATATACCCCTTTTTTGATATTACTAAAATAAGGTACAATTTACCTTATGGCAAGTGGTTACTGTAGCCCGTAGACACAAAATAAAGAGGGCTTCATGTGTAATGTACTGAATTACTGATTTACCTTTGTTTAAATTCAAAGTGCATGTCAAAAGCACTCTTATTAATACATTAAAAAAATATTTTTACCCTGTCAGCTAGTATGTATGTCACTAAGATACATACTGGTAAGCAACCAATTATCTTTGCCATCTTCTTAGCGTCAGTACTAGGTGGTGTGACTCCATGTTTGCCTAGGAGTTGATCTAATTGTGCCTGCCCAGATGGACTCCTCCCGCCTCCTCTTACCTATTTCTGCCGTCAAATAGCAGTGCATGCACTGCTGTGTTCCATTCTGATGGGTATAGAGTCAGAATAATCACAGGCTGTGGGTCATTCCATTTTAGTTGTGGTAGAGCCATGCTGCAGCTATATTAGTAGTATAGTTATAGCACGAATGGGTCGGCTCGACGGGGGAAGGACCATGCTCTCACAGAATACCAGTGTAAAATAGCAGCTTAACACTGCTGTGTTTCGTATGGTGATTGTAGAGAACTGGATTCCTTTTTTACTGGAAAAGAGGGATTCCATCGTAGTCCTCATGGGTGACAATGCATCTGCATTTTGATTCTTTATTGAGGACAGATGTAGATGTCTATGGGTCACAGCGACCATTTACCATCGTGTGGACTGTGTGCTCGTTTGTCACCCTATCCTATAAAAATTAAAATGAAAAGATGAGCGCATTGCATCATTAGATCTTCATCATTACAGCCTTCACAAGTCCACTGCTGAACATAGGTCTCACCCACGGAATGCCACAATGCACAGGAATCCATCGCGTTCCTGCATTTCTTATAACCAAGTATGTTTTCAAAAAGGTTCTAACAATAAATTAAAGTACCATCAGTTTTTTTTAACGTAGTGTCAAAAATGTTTATTATTTAAAATGTTAATTATGTTTCTTTAAATCGTAGAAAATTTTCGTGAACTTAGTGTCTGTACAAAAATATGTCTGATGACACAGATACTGAGACTATGTTTTCTTAGATTTCTTATTCATTACTTAAATTAAAAAAAAAACGGACGTTAATTAAATTGGCAATTATTAGCAACTAACTGTAAAAATTTTAGTTTTATCACCAAAAACAAAAAGTATAGTCAGACTGTCTAAAATAATTATGACCTAAATGATCTTCTTCAATCAACAAGTCAATCTTCCAATCATTCTGTATAATGCTTGTCCCGTGTGCGATTCGAAGCATCTATTATTAGATTAATGTAGGTAATTGTAACATGGTGAGAAGAACGTCATCATTATCATTCGAATTTAGTTTCTCTACCATTCTTTCCCTCCAAAAATGAATATGAGAGACATTATTAAAAGTAAAATACTTTATATCTAGCAACATTGTATAATTATGTAATTTTATAATTTATCTATTTCTTCCTGGTTGACTGATAGAGAATGAAGGTGTCTTACAATAAAAAGTTTTACTTATAATAAATTAAATGTTCAATTCGTGTGTATTTCAGAACCATACATCATACCGACAAATCATTTTTCAAAAGCGTCTGAGAGCAAGATTAAATCAAATTCTACTGATTGTAACATAAACGATGTTCGTAAAGGAAACCTTGATTTAGAAAGGACACAAGTTGAACAAACTCCAGTACCACAACTAACGGAAATATTTCATTGTGATATTTGCGAATTTAAAACAACTCAAAAAGGTCGCATTTTGGCACATCTTAAAGCGCATGTTGCTGACCAAGTGTACTGTTGTAATAATTGTGATTATAAAAGTATTAAAAAAGATCATTTGCAGAGACATATGAAAATACATACTGGAGAAAAACCTTTTTCATGTAATATCTGTGAATATAAATGTATAGAAAAAAGTTATTTGCAAAGGCATATGAAAAAACATACTGGAGAAAAACCTTTTTCGTGTAATATCTGTGGATATAAATGTATTGATAAAAGTAATTTGTGGTATCATATGAAAATTCATACTGCAGAAAAACCTTTTTCGTGTCATATCTGTAAATATCAATGTATTCAAAAAAGTCAATTGCAATCACATATGAAAATACATACTGGAGAAAAACCTTTTTCATGTAATATCTGTGAATATAAATGTATTCAAAAAAGTGATTTGCAAAAGCATATGAAAATACATACTGGAGAAAAACCTTTTTCGTGTCACATCTGTAAATATCAATGCATTCGAAAAAGTCATTTGCAATCACATATGAAAAAACATACTGGAGAAAAACCTTTTTCATGTAATATCTGTGAATATAAATGTATAGAGAAAAGTAGTTTGCAAAGGCATATGAAAATACATACTGGAGAAAAACCTTTTTCATGTAATATCTGTGAATATAAATGTATTCAAAAAAGTTATTTGCAAACACACATGAAAATACATACTGGAGAAAAACCTTTTTCGTGTCATATCTGTAAATATCAATGTATTCGAAAAATGGATTTGCAAAGGCATATGAAAATACATACTGGAGAAAAACCTTTTTCATGTAATATCTGTGAATATAAATGTATTCAAAAAAGTGATTTGCAAATGCATATGAAAATACATACTGGAGAAAAACCTTTTTCGTGTCACATCTGTAAATATCAATGCATTCGAAAAAGTCAATTGCAATCACATATGAAAATACATACTGGAGAAAAACCTTTTTCATGTAATATCTGTGAATATAAATGTATAGAGAAAAGTAGTTTGCAAAGGCATATGAAAACGCACACTTGAGCAGAACCTTTTTTGTGAGAGATCTGGTAAAATATGTGCAATATTATGTAAACGTGTTTTATATAAATATAAAAGTATACTAGATAAAAATCCATTTGTCATGAGTTCCTTATGTAACTGTAGAACGAGTAGAAAACCTTTCCGTGTCATATGTGCTAATTGAAACTTCATTTATTCTGAAGAAGCTAATTCAAAAACCAAAGAAGCAACCAAGTGAACTCTAACCTTGAAATATGTACCGAGTGGTTAGTGGAAACAGACCGGACCTTCATGTTTTTTTTTTAAAATTTTATTTAAATCATACTAGTTTGTTTTTATTTATTCGTTTCGACATTTATCGTTACCGTTACAGCCTATAAAAGTCCGCTGCTGAACATAGGCCTCCCCCACGGATTGACTCATGGGGGGATATTTGCTATAGTTGCCATGCAGGTGGGTTGGCAACAGCGGTTTTTAATTTTTATTTGTTATTAGGAAGACGCTGCTGCCCATCTGGTTTATTTCCTCCGTCGCCAAGATATAATATATAGATATACGAGTCGAGTGTGTCGACGAGGGTTGCGTACCTTATACTCAGAATCACCAAACGGTATTCGTTGTAGGTCATACAGGTTTACGCACCAACCTCGGCACACCCCTATGAGGAGGTGGAGGAAATGTATGAGGATATCTCTAGAGCCATGCATTCCTCCAAAACCCAGTATACGGTGTTAATGGGAGACTTCAACGCAAAACTAGGCACAAGAGAGAACGGTGAGCTGAAGTTAGGGAATTTCGGATTAGGGCAACGGAACCCAAGGGGCCAGCAGCTGACCGACTTCATGGAGAAAGAGGGACACTTTATGATGAACTCTTTCTTCCAGAAGCGGCCCGACAGGAAGTGGACCTGGTCGAGCCCCAACGGTTCGATAAAAATGAGATTGACTTTATTATGAAGACCAGACGACAACTGTTCAGTGATGTCTCAGTGATCTTGAGGGTGAAAACCGGCAGCGATCACCGAATGGTGAGAGGCAGGCTGAACCTTAACGTTAAGTTGGAGATGTCACGTCATTCCAAAATCCCGAAAACTTTCAGCTCGAGCTACGAAACCGTTTTCACGCCTAGAAGACTGCAATGAAGTGGACGGTATGAATGACAAGCTCGTGGAAACTGTCCATGCGGTCGGAGCTAAGTTTTGCGAGACCCGCCGCAGAAGAACACAAAAACTCTTCGATCACACTCTTAATCTCATGGCTGTTAGACGGGAGATGAAGCTACATTTTCAACAGATTTGACAGCATACAGGCAACTGAACAGACAGATCTCCAAATGCAAGCGGCGGGACTTACGCAACTTCAATACAGCTTGTATTAAAGAAGCGATCGAGCGGAACCTGGGCTCCAAAGTCTTTGCTAGAGATCTGTCTGCCAGAAAGAGCCAACTGTCGAAGCTGAAGACCGAGTGTGGCAGCGTCGTTTGTGGGACACCTGAGATTTTGAGTGAGATTGAGAGGTTCTATGGGCAGCTGTACACGTCATCGTTGGAGCCACTCGCGAGTGTGAGTAACGATCCAAGAGCGAGTCTTATCCGACACTATTCCGATGATATCCCGGACGTCAGTCTGAGCGAGATTAGAATGGCTCTCCAGCACCTTAAAAACGGCAAGGCCCCAGGCGAAGATGGAATTACAGCGGAGCTTCTGAAAGCGCTTTTATACGTGGTAGAGCCATGCTGCAGCTATATTAGTAGTATAGTTGTAGCACGAATGGGTCGGCTCGACCGGGGAAGGACCATGCTCTCACAGAATACCAGCGTAAAATAGCAGCTTAACGCTGCTGTGTTTCATATGGTGAGTGTAGAGAACCGGAGACCCTTTTTACTGGAAACGAGTCATTACATCTTAGTCCTCACGGGTGACAACGCATCTGCATTTTGATTTTTAATCGAAGATAGATGAAGATGTCTATGGGCCACAGCAACCACTTACCATCAGGTGGACTGCGTGCTCGTTTGTCACCTTTACCCTATAAAAAAATGCGGGTGGAAAACAGGTACTTAAGTCCTTCAGAAGCTCTTTAATTCTGTCCTCCATGGTGGCATTACACCGGAGGCGTGGAGCAGAAGTGCGGTGGTCTTGTTCTTCAAGAAAGGTGACAACGTTCTCTTGAAGAACTACAGACCAATTTCCCTTCTGAGCCTCGTCTACGTGATATTTTCGAGAGTCATTACGAATCGTCTCGCGCGCAGACTTGACGACTTCCAGCCTCTCGAACAAGCCGGTTTCCGACAAGACTTTAACACCATAGACCACATACATGCCCTTCGGCAAATTGTACAGAAGTCCGAGGAATATAATTTGCCACTATGTCTGGCGTATGTGGACTATGAGAACGCCTTTGATTCCGTAGAAATTTGGGCGGTGCTGCAGTCCCTTCAGCGATGCCAAGTTGACTGTCGGTATATCGAAGTGCTGAAGTGTTTGTACAGTAGGGCTACGATGCCTATCCGAGTACAGATCCAGAGTACGAAACCTATCGAATTGCAAGACAGGGTGACGTTATATCCCCGAAACTCTTCACCGCTGCATTGGAAGACGTTTTCAAGCTTCTGGACTGGAAAGGATACGGTATTAACATCAATGGCGAGTACATCACTCACCTTCGATTTGCCGACGATATAGTCCTTATGGCAGAACCGCTGGAGGACCTAAGCACTATGCTCAATGACCTCAATAGTGCTTCCCAACGGATAGGTCTTAAGATGAACATGGACAAAACAAAGATCATGTTTAATGTCCATGTCACACCTATGCCGGTAGTTGTTGGGAGCACTAAGCTCGAAGTTGTTGACGAGTATGTTTACCTGGGACAAATAGTCCGACTAGGTAAGTCCAACTTCGACCGAGAGGTCAATCGACGGATTCAACTCGGTTGGGCAGCGTTCGGCAAATTACGGCACACTTCTCGTCAGGTATACCTCAAAACTTGAAAACGAGACTGTACAATCAGTGCGTGTTGCCCGTGATGACCTATGGTACTGAGACGTGGTCCTTCACTACTTGGAAGCTCAAAGTCACTTAGCGAGCTATGGAGAGGGCTATGCTCGGAGTTTCTCTGCGTGATAAACTTAGAAATTATATATTTTTATTTTATGGCTTTAATAAAAATAATGTTATTTTGTCAGCAAACCACACACGTTTTTATTGTTTTCTTGCAATGCCGACCATCCAAAGGTTGTCTGGAAGAGATCGCTCTTAGCGATAAGACCGCCCATTGTACCACATTTCTTTTTCTTACTTTTTAGTAATATTTTTGTTATTTTTTGGCGTACAATAAAGTGTTATCTATCTATCCGCAGTAGAATTAGAGTGACCGACATAGCCCAACGGATTAGTAAGCTGAAGTGACAATGAGCCGGCCATATAGCTCGAAGAACCGACAGCCCATGGGGAAAAAAGGTTCTCGAGTGGCGGCTTCGTTCCGGCGGACGAAGTGTAGGGCGTCCCCCCACTAGATGGAGTGACGACCTGGTAAGATATGCAGGAAGTCGGTGGATGCAGGTGGCTCAGGACCGTGCTTTGTGGCATTCCTTGGGGGAGGCCTATGTTCAGCAGTGGACTTGTGAAGGGCTGTAATGATGATGATGATGATAGATATAAGAATATCCACTACCCCTTATCATCCCGTGTGTGTCGTAGAGGCGACAGAAAGAAACAAATCAGAAGACGTGCAGCAGCGTATTCCTACAAAAATAAAAATAAAAATTGTGTTGCCAACCCGCGTGCCAAGCGTGGCAACTATGGCAAATATCCCCGTATGAGGCAATATATGCGGGAGGCCTATGTTCAGCAGTCGACTTTAATAGGCGCTAACAATAATAAAATAAACGTCGAAACGAAAAAAAGGATAAACATTAGCAATCAATTAAATAAAAAAAAACATGGTCTGGTCTGTTTCCACTAACCTCCCATTTGTTTCATATTTTAAAGTTCAATTTTTTTGGTTTTTGAATCAGCTTCTTCAAAATAAATGCAGTTTCAATTAGCACAATACAAGGCACGTAAAGGTTTTTCTACTCGTTCTATTATTCTGTACAATATGGCTCTTGTAGTCGAGTTATTAATTCATTTCATATTTACACTGTAAAATGTCCAGACTGAATTCGGAGTGAATTTGAAACATGAAACTCCTGCCGTGGCAGCTAACTATAAATTAAAGTGAAAGAAACTTACTTCACTACTATTTTTTTTTATTTCAGGTTTACTTTGATCTTATAGATTATCTTACGCTAATGAAGGAAATGTTTAAGTACTGTAAGGCAGTTTTCTTGCAGAGGCTTTGTTTAGTTAGGTGTTGTTGTAAAGTGAAATGTATCTTCACGATTGTTTGAACTTTTTGTTAAATTCTATATAAGTCAAAGACTTGTATACTACTCGAGCGGCAATTCAGAATAAAAACCGTGTGACAGCTGTGGATCGCGGGTAGCCGGCACGGTAAATATGCTGGTTACGGTGGCAATCATGGCAACGGCGGGGCAGGGGGTGCTAAGGATCTCCGGTGGAGCTTTGGTTGCCAACTAAGACGACTCCACCTGGCTACATTTAACGCACGTACCCTGACGACTGACGAGGAGATCCTGGAGTTGAAAGAAGAGATAGATAATTTGCGCTGCAATATTATAGGATTATCTGAGGAGGAGAGGGGAAGAGAGAAAAATGAGGCCTTATCATTTATATGTCATTTATTCAGAAGAAAAACCTATACATAATATACACAAATATATTGATACATTCGTTTTATTAAACTATTCATTTATAAGTATTTCTGGAATACATTCATAACTATGAACTTAACTACTAAGCCATAGCATAAAATAAATTTTCCCGTTAATCGGGTAATAGTTAAGCTGCTGGCATATACAATAATTTTTCACGCACACTAGCATCTTTACAAATTGTCTCATGCCCAATTTCACCAACATCCCCTACACAATCACATAGACGACCTCTAAGCTAAAAG